TTCTACCAGAGGAGTTTAAGAAGAAATAGCTGTAAGAGAAGCTCTTTTTCTCTTCTTCCTCCAAGTACCTCCAACTACTCACTTTGCTCCTCTTTTACCTCGTAGCACCTTTTATTTTACACACTTAAGAAAAAGCTAACAGGGATGATTCCCTCTTCCTAGCAACAGCAGGTTTGCTTACCTTTGGGGGCCCTGTGCCAAAGCTGTGTTTCGAACCTCTGCTCTTTACTAGACAACTATACTAAAAAACATAGCCATGGTGCAATGGGACCATGGCCAGCCTGAAGCTCCTGCAAGTGCCCTAATGCCACCCCTGGCTCCTAATACAGATGTATTACTTCTTCACTTTGGAGCAAATCCAGCTTCAACTAAATTATTTAAAAAGATAACAATGACAACTGGACAGGACCTCTCACAATTAAAGGGCCTGCATTCACCAAGGTACTTAAACCTGTCAGTAGCCTCAATGAAATTAACAGAACGTTTTAGGGACCTAAATTTAGACGCATGCTTCAGTACCTTTCTGAGTCAGGTGACTGAAGCAGCAGTCTCATAACAAGCCTGCTTTGGGGTTTGCTGTAGGTTCCCAGGTAGAGAAATAAACCCAGCAGTTATCAGAGATATCAAGCCTAATTAATGAGGCTGGATCTCTCACATTTATGATGCAGTGTTGTGATGAATGTGAAAAGCATGTTACAATATAGTAAGCAAGTTCAAAATTGTGTTTAGTATTGGTGAAAACCTGTCAGAGAGCACGTGGATTATGGGCCAAATGCCTGGAGACACAGGTGGTTCCAGTTCTTCATTAGCTTTGGTTCTCTCTCTCTCTGAGGTGAGCTACAAATACTACATATGAGCTCCTCTGGATTGCAAGAGGCTCTATGCTTGCTTCTGCTAGGGGGATTTCCCATTTTTTACTAGGTGATCCCCCAGTGGTTTGGCACAAGTTGAGAACTGTGAACAGCCACATATTTCAGTTCATAATTGCTGGGATACTCGCACAGCAAAAGTTACACTGAGATATTATTTAACATTCCATACTCATAAAGACAACTAGAAACTTGAAAAAGGCAGAGCCTGCAGTAAGTCAAATCGAAGGAAGGGTCTCTTCTTGAGGATACATCCCAATGCAACCAATTAGATCTTCTATCTCCACACTGCATGGCTTTGTTTTTAAGGTTTTCAATTTATTATGAGATTTTTTTCTTTGCAGGCTATTTCTCTTCTTTCCCAAATGATGGAGGGGATGTGCTGGATTTCCACATAGAAATACACCCTGACATCAGTGGGGCTATATGGGTATCTCCAATGCATCTACAGCCACAAAAACCCACTGATCTCAGAACAGGACAAACTGGGGAAGACTCATCACATTAGCTTTTCTGCTCTACCCAAGCATGCCACAAGCCCGACTGAGTGGTTGCTTTGCCAGCAGCAGGAGAAGCACACAGACATGCATCCACTACTAACTGAAGTAAGATCACAAATGCATTTCAGATCAAACAGTGACCATGAGAGAAGTGATCATTATTCAGTCCCATTTCCAAAAAGTTCTCACTACCTGTTCTCTGGTAGGCTGTAGTCCTGACCACCAGTGAGACTGTGCTTGGTTTAGTTTCCAACAGTTACCTCAGTAGAGGTGTTAAAAGCAGCTTGTGCCCTAGGCAGCCGTGGCAGCCAGGCCAGCAGCAGTAGCCACCCCTTTTATACCCCCTTCAGAATTAGTGCCCAGAGTTGATGCCCTTGTTGCCCACCCTAGGTTATGCTACTGCTGCCTCAATGGACAGTCTACACACAATGTAGTTTGACAAGTGTTTCAGCTCTGGATCATGTAACCCATTTACACTATGAGTCTTTTCATTTTGTTGAACATTTAAAAACAGAGCCTAGGTTGCAAACAAGCATCTCCTAGCAAAATTTCAGTGTAGCCTAGGCCTTCATGTGATAAAACTTAAGTACTATGGTGAAACAATATGCCTCTCTTACATTACAACAGTGCTGCTTAAACTTTTTGCCTCATGGGCTAGATGGGTGGTGCCCAGTTTCTTAGTGGGCCAGATCCAGCTGATCGGCCCAGTCTGGCCACATGGAGTGAGGCAGAGAGCAGCTCAGCCTTGCTCCAGACACGTGGGAGTGAGATGGCATGGCCTGGCTGCGCAGGGCTGGGGAACTGGGCAGCAGGAAAGGTGTGGCAGCATTAATTGCCACCACTCCCCCATCACCAAATTTCCCAATGTGTGGGGAGCCCTGCGGGCCAGATGCCATGGCTTCACAGGCTGTATTTGGGCCAGGGGTTGAGCACTCCTATTCCAATATGAAATCATACTAGGCAGCCCCAGGAAAAACAGTTGCTTTAGCTTGGGGTGCTTCCTCCTGAGCTATACCCAAAGTTTTCCCGAAGCAGGGAAGTACCTCTGCCTTTCCTTCCCTTCTAACACCAACACGGCTATTTATCCTGTTAGCCATGGCTACTCAGATGTGTCTTGGAGCTACAAGCACATATACATATGGTCCCCACCCTCTAAATGGCACCCTCCACTTCATGGCTCTTGGGGCAGGAAGGCAGCTTTCCCAGTTGAGCAGAAACCACTGGGGAGTCATCCTGGCCAGCAGGCTTGGGCCCACTGTCACCAGAGCCAGCATGAGCCCCATTCCCAGAGTCAGGTGTACCCTGGCAGCCCCTACCTCCTGCTCCCAGTTGCTGGGGCTCTCCAAGGTGGGAAGGTACTCCATTTATTTTGCCTGTTCTTTTGTTTAGAACTGAACTAAACCAAGACCCAGGCAAAACATATTGAATACCAAACTAGCCAAAAATATCACAGCAAGTAGTTCTTTTGGTGCATTGTCTCATTATGAAGTCAGCAAGACTTGGAGCAAATCCAAACTCAGAAGTCCTTTGCAACAGCAGAGCCCTCCTGTCATCCAGCAGAAGATGCAGGAAGATGCTCCTGTGCCTTCTGCCAGGTCCAGTGATGCCTTCAGCAGTCGGTGCTTGCCCAGGCTGCAGAGCCATCAGAAGTACTTGGATGTGTATGCACACTGACAGCTGGACAATGGCATCTTCTGTCTATTCAGAGAACTTCTACTGGCAGAGGCAGGTAAGGATAGACAATGCCCAAGCCATCTCTCTGCTCATACAGTGCTGAGGTCATCTGGGCATAGGTCCTGTCTCTAGCACAAATGTGAAGTTGGCTCCACGTTATAGGGAGATTTCCCCAGGGCTAGATCTCCCAGCTTGATGTTTACAGCCAATACAAAAAGGTCACAATGGTGTAGGGATTTAGAGAGATGTGAGGTGACTTTCTCACAGCTGAACAGGTGTGACTGGTGCCTCCTGAGTCTGGGGGTGCACAGTTTGTGGGCAGGTCAAGGGTGGGCCAGAAGCCCCATATCCACTCCTACACTTCTGCGCCACGGTGTAGTGCCCCTCCCCCCCCCAATGCCGCCGGCCTGCGCAGCAAAAAAACTGCCCCACTTTCAGGGGCCAGTCTTGGGGGGAGCACGTGCCCCCCACGCCTCCTACCAGTCACCCGTGCAGCTGAATGAGTCAGTTTCTAACAGTCATCTCTGAACAAATTTCACTCAATGGTCTTGTCTAAACTTGAGGCTTTGGTCATATTTAAATGTGTTAACTAACACTGACAGAGTAAGCAGGGTACACTGCAATCACCACTACAGCTGCAACCTACATCAGCCTGCTCACAGCCTACCTGGGAAGCTGGGTAGGGGGATCACCAGAAGTGTTTTGGGCCATGGTAGCATGGCTGCCAGTACCTGAGCTAGCTGATTTAAAGCTAACTCACAGAAGTCTGAGAGAGCTGCAATATAGACATCTTCAGAAGCGTTTCACAAAGGTTTCATCCTGCTGCCTGCATTAGAATTAAAAGTGTTATAATCCACAGGTGTTTTTGGAAACCAAATAAAACATTTTGCAACACAAGAAGGATTCTAGTCTAGACAAGTTCTAAGGGACAGATTTTTCAAAACATATCTAAACACTTGAGTAAGCAGACAGGTATGTTAAACCCACTTGGCATCTTAAGTCCCAGTGAAGTAAACTATTTCTTTTACATGATTTCAAGGAGAGTTAGGTGTCAGGCCTGCTTTAGTGCTCACCTGCTGGCTTTCAGTCCCTTGTTCTAGCCATTGCCTAGTGCAACTTTCTCTTACCCATCACACTTCTGGAGCAGGTACTCTATTGTGTGGTAAGGCTGAGCCTGACAAATGCTAACACAGAAATGGAATTGCAAATAATGTTTGCTTCTTGCATGACTGCAGCTTACATTCTCCTCACATTCTGTTGATTGATGGCAAGCAAAAAAGAAATTGCTAGCCAGAAGGGAGTTAATTATCTGCTGCTCTGGATGTCGGCTGTCTCATGCCTGCCTAATTGTACATTAAGTTACATGATTAACCTAGAAATGGTTTGGTTCCAAGAAATTTCACACTCCATATAAATTACCAGTCTGGGAAAAAATCATGTACCACAGATCCCTCTAATACAAGTGCTTCATAGGAAACACTGCCTTTGACAAGGACAATAATTTTGCTAATTAGCTAGAAGTTGCTGCCACAATTTGTTACACATTTATATATTCAGCAACCAAGAAGTGGGAAGGAGATAAGGGGGTGGGGGGAGGAGGTTCAAAAAGCTGCAAATGTTACTGTGGGGTGATTGTTCAGGGGATTAATCTGCTGGTTACTCCAGGCCAGACTGTGTGAGAAATTATGGTTTCTTTGTTCTGTGGGCTCAGACACCAGGAAATCCAGCTACCAAGGAATATTTTCAGTCCTTTCAGTTCCTTCTCCATCAAGTGTTCAAATGTTAATTATAACACAGCATTTTCTATTCCTGTTTAAAATGTCATTAGAACAGAATCAGGCACCCAGACCTCCCCTTTCCTAGGTGAGTGTCTTAACCACTAGTCTATAAAGACATGTTCACCTTTGTTCTCTCCGTGTCAGTAAGCATTTAATTATTCCATGCAAATGAACAGCTCTAACAAGAGACGTGAGAATGACTGTCCCATCCCAGCAGTCTCCTGGTAGGTAATTGGTATAGGTCCAAGTCCCATCAAGCAAAGAAGGGAATTGACTCTAGGGCATTGATTCATGGGTAATTCATGACTTGAGAAGACACACTGAATTGAGTTCCACAGAAGAGCTAGGAGGAGGAATATTTAGCTAGCAAATTCTGATAAGGCTTAGGTCTGAGCTAAATGCCTAACTGTTCAACAAAGTCAAGACCTTAAGGTTCATTCAGGCATAGGCAGTAGATGTTGAGGATCTAAATTTGGCTTTAGGCCCTTGAGTTTGGGCCAAGTCACTTTGTCCATCTAGAGCCAAATGCAGAGAGGTATTTAGGTGCCTGACTTTTATTTAGGGTTTAGGCACTTCGATACCAGTTAGGACTCTTTCTGGATTGAGCCCCTGGCACTTACCTTTGTGTTTTAGATTCCTATCCATAAAAGGGCATAGTTACCATGCTATATATTGCTTGTCTTTTCTATTTAGCCTGTCAACTCTTCAGGGTAGGAATTGTCTTTTTCTCCGTATTTGTATAGCACCTAGAACAACAGACTCTAGTCTTGCCCTGGTTCTTTGGGTAAATCCAATATCTTTTATTAGACTAACTAAAATAGTTGGAAAAATTCTTCTTTGCAAGCTTTTGGTTACAAACACCCTTCTTCAGGCTGCAGAAGTAACTGCAGTTGTTCTGTGCTCTTCCTGGCTGGGATAGAATAGAATAGAATCCAGAGGCCAGTATGTAAGAATACCAGTCAGTGAAAATGCAAATTGAGGCAGTCAGCAGGTGAGAAACAGTTTGGGGTGGGGGGAGAATGTAGACCTCGTGCTAAGTACTATTTACCAGCTACATCTTATCACCAGATCTACATCCCCCACCCCCTGTTTCTTGGTTTCTGGTCTTGCCCTGTGTATTTTTCTAGCATGTAGGAGGTCCACCTAGGTTTCTCTAGCTTTCAGTTACCTTTCAAATCTGAGAAATTCCTCAAGCAAAAGAGTGCCTGGGGTTTACTCTACATACATTAGCTAAAAGCAACAAGAGCAAACCTGCAAATGTTACATAAGTTCAGAGATATAGTTCCAATAACAAGCAGGGGGGGTGTGGAAATACACATGCCCAATTGGCCTGTGCAGGAGAGAGAACCAGAGGCTACTGGGGGAAAGTTCTCACCTGGTTTTTGGTTCAGTCTTAGGTCATTGTTCTGAATTGTTCTCTTGTTTTCATCTGTGGGTTCCCTTTTGTTCCATATCTATGTTGGGTTCAGAATAAAATTGTGGGTTGCTATTACCTACCCCATTACAAACTGTTTCAATTAGACCCCTTCTTTAAATTGCTTTTGTTTCCAAACTATAGATAATTAGCTGAGGAACTTCTGCTTGAAAGAAAATTCTAAAAAGGGAATTAACGTTACCTGCAAGCCCTGCAGAAGGTTTCCAACATCTGCAGGAAGGTGAGTTTAAAAAAAGAAAAAACCTAATTACCCATTTAAGGCTAGGTGTCAGAAATGAAGCTGTGTAAGTTACTGCAATTTCAGAATGTTAATGAGCACAGTTTGTTCAGAACCAAAATGTAGCTTCAAATACAAAAAAAGCTTTAGAACATATTTAATTTGGACCATAATAAAAGATGCTATTCTAGTTAAAGCAGCAAGATACAGACATCACAGCCCTTTGTAGGAACATCTGTACAAAAACACAAGAAGCCAAATTCATCTCTGGTGCAGCTCCAGGGGATTTACAGCAGGGACCATTTGGCCTACTAAGCTTTGCCCTCTCTTGAGAGCAATTGACTGAATTCAGACATCTTCAGAGCTGTGAAGCACAGGGATCTCCAGCATGTTTTTCATTTACCACACAGCACAGTACGCAGATGAAAAAGCAGGAATTCAAAGTATTGGAGGTGAAACTGGTGCAGCACATAAACCTGCCTTATGCCACTGGCTAAATATCATTATATGTATTATTTCAACAGGGTGGGCATCATCTCATATAACTGCTGATTTTTGGGGGGGGGGAGGGGAATTTTATCATTTAATTTGTGTCAAAAATAGCTAGCATTTAAGAGGCAACATCTTAAAAGCACAGGGGTAGAAATTTAATGGCAGATTGCTATATCGTTAACACATGTTGGATGAAATCTTGGACTAATGAAGTCAATGGAAGTTTTGCTTTTAACTTCAGAGAGTTGGGATTCCAACCACTGATTATACCATGCACCATCAGATATCCCATTGGTTTCAAATTAAACTATCCCTAATATAAAATACTCTACATCAGAATTAGGGCTAACACAATCTGCAGCTCCTTCATCATAGCATATTTTTGTTCTCCATTTGCAAATTTACCATTTCTTTAATCTCATCTGTAGGTTTTTAGAAAACTGGTAGATGTTAGAAAGTTTACATCAATCATGGTTATAATCTTACAGGAATATTACATCAAACTGCTTTCTGAAATTAATCTTCTAAAAAGAACTGCTATAGAAATTATTTGTCCTTTAACAATTTTGGAAACTAGCATCCTCTGCACAAAAATAAAATATTAAAAATTCAGCAGGCCATACCTCACTGTGAGCAAATGCACAACTAAGAAAATGTTAAAATAAAAGGGTCTGTGAGGGGTAAAAGATAATATAAAAGAGGAAAAGGACTGAGAGAACTGCCAAGATTTTACTTGAATCAAAAAGTGGCACAGAGTCCTATATGCTGGGATTTTTCTTATGAAAGAGGAAGAAAAGAAGTGCTTGTGAGAATATTCTTTTGCTGCATCCTTATCTGCAGACAAAGAACTTGCTTCCCTGCTCCAAAACTACAATGTGCCATACAAAAGGCAGGTTCTAGGCTTTAAGAATGTGGTTAATGATAACAACAGTAGCAAGCAAAGGGAACTGTGAAATACATGATTATTTTATTCCTACAGGTGTTAGCCATGCCATTTATACTAAAAACACAAAGAAAACCTCCTTGATCCTATACCTGCATGGTCAGCTCAGAAGAAATCATTGGGAAAATATTATTAGTCTCCCCTTAGGAATGCAGCATTTTAAGGGTTCTTCTGTTGATGATTCGACAGTGTGTAATATGTCAGACTAAGGACAGGCTCAGGTACTGACAGAGCTTTACATTTGTATTCTCCTCTGAGCAGCTAAAGGGGGAAGAGAGAAAAATGCAGTCTGTTTATTACTAAATAATTAAAAAAACCCTTCTAATCTTGCAGAACAATTCTGATATTTAAGAAACTTTGAGCAGAGGCAGTTACACTAAATGCCTTGGTATACTCTGAACAAAAGAGTAACAAGAAAAGCTAAAGATTTGCGAATTGCCTTGAATTTTATATGTAAAAGTTCTACCTAAAGTTACTTAAATACTGTGTATCTTTTTCATATTAGCTATATTTTCAGCAGAAATAATTCAGCATAGTATTTCAAACAGAGCATGATACACATCAAACTGCTTTACAATAATTTATGAATGTTGTATGTGACCTGGTGGTTAGTAAAATGTTTATTGCCATCTTAGTTTAATAGGAAGCTGTAAAGGGAAAACAAGCAGGAAGAATGAAGAATGGCTTGAAATAAACCAGTAAATTGTAAACACCACAGGCTTATTAAGAAACAATGCCCAGACTATGAGCTATGAAGATTCTATCTCCAGATGTTTTTTCACTTGTGCCAGAGCCACAAATCTGGAGACAGAAAGGAACAAAGGATCTTTGACTGGATATAGGAACTCTTGACAGAATGGATGCCATTACTGAGGAGTTGTTCAGATTAATAAAGGTGTTCATTAGAGTGCCTGTAGAAGTCAGGCCTTCTGTCTGAGATGGTAGGCTTTCTGGTAAACCAGACTTACATGTAGTCTGTTTTTAAAGTCCTCTCTCTTTGGCATGGATCCTCTTGTGATAAGTAAACAGCATTTTTGTTTAAGAAGGCTATCTGGCTACTGTCCTCACCTATAGATACTGCTTTCAAAAAGTAAAAGCTGTTGAAAGTGAACACAGCCAGATTTCCTGGTTGATACAAAGCAGAATGCCAGGCAAGCCTGGGGTGAAATGACCACTCACTGCTTGAAGACCTCAGCTGGTGGCTGCAAACCATACAAGCCTTGAGCAGCAGGA